TACTTAAAGGCAGTCAGCCTCAAAACTTTATTTTAAAGATTATCCTCTCAAAATAGTTTATAAGGTTGGGAAAAACTTTCCTTTTTTATTAACCTAAATAGAAAATATCTAATCAACTAAGGCACAGCCTAGCAATCATTTTTGTTTTCAAATATGAAGATTTAGTGGAAAATCTGTGAATGTGCCTACTGTGGTGACTGTGGGCTCTCAGATTGCCCAGGATGGGCAGGATTGGCAAGAAAAGCTCTTTAAATGGCCCACTGCTGATGAGAGGATCTACCTGATGTACCCAGCTGAGGCACAGCAACTACTACTCTTCATTTACTGTAGGAGGTTCTGCACCTGCAGACAGCAAACGGTCTGAATCACTCATTACTATCATGAACTAAAACAACACTGTAAAAGCTTGACGGTCTCAGGTACCACAATAGAGTCATCAAGCAATCCTGCCATGCACTATCATTTCCAGTATAAGGCAGACACTAATAATGGTTTTGCTATATAATGACCTACTTTAGATATATACACAGACACACAGATTTATGTATATTACATATTAAAATAATGGCAGGACATTGCTTTAGAAATCATGGTTGTCTCTGCTTCTATCTGCAAATTCTGACATCATGTCTTACAATTTGTCCCTATTTCTACCCTGAATCTTTCATCTTTTGCTGCTGTTGAGCTGACTCAGAACCAAATCGCCAGGAAACCTCACCATCACCTAATTCTTTAGCGCTCTCCTATGGATGAGGAGGAGGAGGAAGGAAAAGAAAAAGAAATAAAACTGTCCCTTTAAAAACCCAAGCATTTAAGCTGCTTGTCAGTCGTCTTCCTGACAAGGCCACTTGAATGTATTCAGGAATATTTGCATAAATGCTCACAGTGAGTTCACCGTGGCAGCTAGCGCTAATGGTACATAAAGTAATTTAGTCACTTCTCTTAGGCATCCTGTCAGGGTGATAAGCACCCCCTCTTTGCCTTGTTGCATATTAGATCATTAGATAATAAAGTGTTAGAGCATGCAAACTGACAGAGTCTCAGGGACTATCATTTTTCGAGGGCATTGCATTCTGCCAGCAAGGAAAAATAATAGAGAAACTGATGCTACAATTGGCTTCACATTCTTGTAAAGCCATTCAAAGATTTGGGGGAAAAAAGAATTTTTACTTTGCAGTGATATGAGAGTTTTAACTGGAAACTTTGCAGACATCTGCAGCGGTGGACTTCATGCTGGTAAACTTGAAAAGCGTTGTTGCAAACCCTGTCAGAATTCCCCCCTTTCATAAGCTAGTCACTTAAATTGCATTGGAAAGATTTTGCTTTTAAAATTGACACCCTGGGATGAACTACAAGCTGAAATATATTCTACTGGTTGGGGCCTATTGGCTCTTCACTATACATCTTACTATATATGTACAATTTAGAAAGGTCAACCACACCGGCTTTCTGGTTTACCATAAATATAAAACAAGTGAGGATCCAACTATTTGTGAATGAAAAAGTGATAATTATCGAAAACCACAGATTACTGTGGCTTACCCTATTTATACCACACAGAGATGTATGAAATAATTGGCCTCTGCCAGCTATTACTTTTGAAAGATAGATATATTTATTTGAAATATGAGCTTCTTAACCCGCTGGTTTCAAGGAGGACAGTGTGTGGATACGAAGCCATGGTCTAGGTTCCTAGTTATATCCAGAGAGACAAGCTACGAAAAGGAACTTTCATTTTACTATCTGACGAGCAAGATACAGAGATGTGTTGGATGTCCCAAAAATAATCCAGGCTTACCTGCTAATGAGATGGTAAAACCCGAATGTGGAGACACCAAGCTCCTGAGTGGATCGGGAGGTAAAGCTTTCTTTTCAGCTTTTTGGCACCCAAAGTCTCTTTTAGGTGTCACATAAACCACAACTCCATGTTTAAGAGCAGCATGTCCCAACACAACTTTGTAAGGAAAAATAAGCTGGATATTGTCTAACTAAACTAGGCAACCAGCACACCTTCTTGCTACATCCCCTCTCCCCTTTCCCGGGTCCTCACACAGTCAGGCATTCCTCTCTATTGCAATCAGATATTTGTGTTAAAGAGTTAAACATCTAGAAAAGTATACAGGAATACATTTGGTCAAGGGCATATTATACTTAGATCCCAGCATTTAAAAACCTATGATCAGAAGTTGCTCACCAGAGCAATAAACCAGAGACAAACTAGCCATGACTACGTTAGCTTCCCATTTCACCTTTTACAGATACTGTTCAGGTCAATCTGCCCCCCGCTCCAAGGGAGGCAGAAAAGCTGGAAAGAGGAAAGGCAAACAAATTGTCTCTGCTACTTACACTTGAAGATATTATCCAAGATAAAAATTCCAAAAACTGAAGAAAAATAGTATACTTTGGGACTCAAACTAAAGATAAAAATTAATTTTTATTTAGGAGGAAACTATCATCTGTTCCAACAGGTCTAAGGTTTGTGGTGGTTGCCCAAAATTCAATAGCATTAAGCCCAGTTGAGGCTTTTTTTTTTTCATTCAGCTAAGTGTTTTAGACATCTAATATCAACATTAAAACAGTTACTGGATTTTTTTTTTTAATGATTTTTTCTTCCTGTCTCTTGGACTCAAATGTGCATAGAATTCCTGGAGAGCTGGATTGAAAGATCTAGGTTAAAAAGAAAGGCTCCACCAACCCTTTGGGAAGAGTGCAATTTTGTAGTGTGGAGGTTGCTATTCAAAAGTAAGAATTTACTAGCGGTTGCTTTATGAGGTTGCTTGAGAGGTGCCTGAGAAAGCAGATTAGAAAAACCACCTTTCCCACAAAACGTACACATGGAGATATTTTGCAGATGTTGACTTTTAATGTTAGCACAGTAATTAGGGTCTGTGTAGATATGTAAGCATAGCATTATCTTTTTTTGTTTCCTTTTGCTAACAGAATCCCTCAGGTAGTAGGAGTGGGAACGATAGCTGTCGTAAAATGAGATGCTATTACACCATGCATGTGAATAAGAACATTTATGTATGAGAAAGTAAGTATTGCCTTGACCAAAAGCAGGCACTGAGAAGACTGCGGGGGGCGGGAGGAGAGGAAAAGATGGCATCTACTTTAGTAGGAATGGAAGTAAAAAATAGGAGTGTCTTTTTGAAAGACTAGACTTAATGGAAAGATTACAAGGTTGAACAGAGAGAAGTTTCCTTTTGTAACGTTCTGCCTTCTGCTAATTACTAAAGGCAGAGTTCATACATTCCTTACAAAAATTCAGCAAAAATTATGACAGTAGTTTGTTTATTAAATTAGGTTGTTGGCAGGATGAAAAAAAAAGTCTATAACATGAATTATGGCTGAAAATGGCTCATAGCCTACATAAAAAGTTAGACCTAAATAAATACAGATGTAAGTTATGTTTATATAATGAGAAATGCTGCTGAGCTAAGAATTTTAGGTTAGTAAGTGTGAACTACAGACCCAATTCTGCAAACACTTATCAATACCCTCAACATTACTGACACAAGAAGCCTCATTGATCCCAACAGGACCATATGTGTGCATAATCTTAAATAGATGCGTAAGTGCTTGCCGGACTGGTGACTGAAAGCATAAACAGAATAGAAAGCTATTTCCACAGGAATCCACTGAGTAGTAGAAACCCACACATTTGCCCATTTTTCAGTATTAATAATTTCTTTTAACATATCTAGTTAACATTCTTCTGAGCGGCATTCGCTTTCCCAGAGAAAATTTTATCTGGTTTCTTCAAACTCTTTGGAAAAATCTATTTAATTATTCATCAGATCCTTGACAAATATTTGTGAAACAAACCAGCATAAAGGACTGGTGCCTTCTACACTCAACTACTTCAATGGAAGCTGAGAGTACACATCTCTTAGAGGGAGCAAGCACCTATTGAATTTAGGATTACAAACAGCTTTGATGACAAAGAGCTATTCTACCAAGCTGGAACAGGGAGAGGGGAGTGAAATGCCCTCTGTTTTTGTTTTGTTTTTCAGTAGTAGTCATCAACTTTGAGGACAAAGATCAAAACAAAACATTAATCAAATCCAGATTTTTCAAAGTACATTTGCACTCAACAACTCCCATTTTAAGCACCTACAGTCACCAGCAGATGTTCTCTTCCAGGACCAGCTGATCTTACGGAAAAGATTACTGTCCTCCAGGCTGCTTCCAGCCACGTGCTCCCATCCCACCCTTGCTGGGGTTTACTGTCCTTTCAGAAAAGCCAGACAAATTGCTTTGCACCATTTCTCCTTCAATCATTTCAGCAAAATAAGCTAGATTGGCAGAGTTATAATTTAAACAGTTTAACTCAAATGAACTTCTTTGGACTGAAGGAGACTAGGGAGCAATCAGACAACCATCTTAGCTGGCATGTCCATGGTGGATAATAGCCTGCAGCAGGGAGGAGAGACAAGCAGCTGTGGCATGCAGGGAAGAGCAACTTCCTCAGCTGGCACAGCTGGAGCCAGAAGAGAACATTCGTCCATGGCTTGAGTAAGCAGATGGATTTCCAAAAGGGCTCTGCTTTCATTTAGGGCAATTCAAAGGAACAGCTGAATCTCCTAGAGAGCTCAGCACTCTACAGATAGGAGAAATCCAATCCAAAATTTGGGTGCTGAGCACCTCAGAAAATATGCAACATCCTTTAGATGCACAGTCAAAAATCAAGGCAATTTGGAAAAGATCAGACTCCAATTTTGGGTGCTGAATATATGCAACCAAAAAAAAAAAAATCACCACACTTCACTGATACACAGGACAGACTCTGCACCATGTTTGCCTGCTGGTTTGTCATTTCACTACATTTAGTGCTGACCTACTTGAAAAATTCCCCCTTTAGTCTGGAGGCCAGTCTCTAAAATATCGGTCCCAAAGGTATAAACTGTTACAGGACAATCTGAAACCAGTAGCCAGAGACACAAACCAAATAAATCCACATTTAAAGTAGCAATGCCAACCAATGAAAATGATATGCCTACCATGTTCCAGATAAGAAGGCGTACCTTCCGAGGGATCGAGTCTTCGAGCTCTCCGCCCGTGCTTGGAATTGTTGTGTACAAACATGTTGTCTGACACTGCCAACACATGGCCATCAACATTGACTGTTGTAGATACCACAACCTGCAAGCACAAGAGCAAAATGGAGGAAAATTTGGATATATATGTATGTTTTTTAAGAAGCACAGAGTGTAATAAACTCAGTTAAATAAATAACAGCTGGAGCTGTAGAAAATTGCATAGCTATTTCGCATAATAACTGGTGCTTATGCTGTACAAATCTAACAAGAGACGCTATTGATGAGTGGGTCTTTGGCATCACAAGCTTTTGATGAAGTTTTAAGTTAAATTGCAGAGTTTGTAGCTGCATGGCAGACGGCACACTGTTAACCATCATTTTAACAAGAAGATCTTTATTAAGTATTTTTTCCCCTATATACAAGGGCAGCTGTGTTTCACCCTAAATTATCCTTCAGTTTCCATGCTGAAGTAGATAGAGCTGTTGACATTGCAAATGAGAATCCATTCAGAATAAAAGAAAACAAAAGTGTATTTTGTGAAGTTGCAATGAGAGTTGTTGCATGCCTCCCCCCACCCTTTCTACTGCTCTCCCCTCAATACAGTCACCACAGGTTGTTGAACTTGCCCAAATTTTTCCCGAGCTCTATCTCAGGGAGTATGTATAGGTATGTTTGTGTACACACACATGCTTGACAGTGGGGTCTTGATCTGGAGAACACAACCCTATTCATCCAGCATTAGAATTATTTGTATTTCTCAACTTATCTCAATGTCAACACCTGGGATTTGGTTTGAGGCGAGGGGAGGGAGACAGAGAAGCACTGCCCTGGAGGCGGGATCCGACACTTCTGCTCCCCAGAGCAGCCCGCGGCAGGAAAGGAGCCAACCCAGCAGGGGCAAATGGGTAAGTGTTGGGTCCAGATTAGAAGACCCAACTGCTCAGAGGTGTCCAGAGAGACTTCTCAACCTTCAGGCTCAGCAGGCACCATCCTATAGGAAATCCCTGTTCAGGCTGAGGGCACCCGAGCCATGAACCATCGTGGAAGAAAGGGGGGATGCACGGGGCAAGTCCCTGGCAGAGCTGGGAGCTCATCACACCGGTTCTCCTCCCACCCCACTCAGACCAAGCGACCTCATAGCCTCCCTGGCTTTCATTCAGCCACCCCCTCCCACAGCCTCTTCCCAACAAAGTATGGCATTCCCAGGGTTTTACCCCAGCCAAAGATTTGGCCTTCAGCTGGCTGCTGGTTTACCAGGAGCACACGCCGCCTTTGAGAACTTCGACTAAAACAATAAGAAGAAATGACCTACACTTCTCCTTACATTAAACAGGGAAAGGGATTAAAAACTGAAACCCACAGAGATATGTTTATTCATGCGACCTCTTACAACCAAATATAATAATTGTCTGTTAATTGCAGTTTCAGCTCCCACCTCATGCTTCGACATGTGAAACAGCAATCAGCAGCTCCTGTTTAATCCACCTATTATGTTGACTAATTAACTTTGCTCGACAGTTTATTTCTTCCTCCATTATCAGCCCCTGTCAGCCGCAAGCACACTGCCGCAAAGGGGGACCTCAGCCCTTTTGATTGATCACCGATAGATTGACATGCAGATTAATTTAATTAGAATCACCTCACTTGAGAAATGAAAGACAATGGCAAGGGGGCTAATAGATCTGCTCTTATAATGAGGCAAGCCTCCAGAGCCATGGCAGAGGATTTCTGATTTATTTTGCTGAATTCCCCAGTCGCCCTGAAAGGCTCTCGCTTTAATTGTTCTTGGTTTTGAGAGGCTTTAGCCTCTGAAGAGGTGAAATGCTTTACAAGGATTGGCAAACATTGCTTCAACTCTCTCAGGAAGCTGCTGCCTCTCAAAGTTGGTCAAATGGGGACACTTAAACGATCGCTTACAACAATTGAATTTCATCACTTGAATTGGATCTAAAAAAAAAAGTTAAAGAAAAAATTTTCCAACTATTTCTGACCACCGATTAAAATGCTCAAAAATATAAAGTAAGCAACGCTGCCAAATTGCCCATAGGTAATCCCGAAGTCTTTGTCTTTAAAAAGAGGAATACAAAAGAGAATAGTTTACATCTAAAGGATCCTAAAACCGTCCCTCAGAATGGCATTCCAGGCAATAGAATTCTGTGCGTGTTTTAAGTGAAAGATATTAAAATACAGAATAAATGATTCAAGAGCTCTTACAGATGGAAATTTGGGAAAAAGAAAGCACCAAACACTGTAGGTAAGTTTTTCTGAAATCAAACTAAGGGGGAAAAAAGCCCAAGCCCTATATATAAAATTCCAAAAGGGATTTCAAAAGTAATTTATCCATTGCATTCCTGAGGGACAGAATAAAGTTTATGATATTTTCAATAAAATATGATCTTATAGTAAGTGGCTTAGGGTTTGCAATCTTATTTGTGCACTTGCAACCATTGTAAATTCTTTGCAACTGGGATTTTGAGCCAAATCCTTAGCTGGCATTGCCTGTCACAGCTCCATGATTTATGCCAGCTCATTATCTTCTTCTATGGGCCTGCTTAGATGCATATGAAAATTAACAGTATTACAATTAATAACAATGACTACAACATAAAATATTTTCCCCAATCCTAAAACCATATAGGTACACACAGATTTCCCACTGAACCTAATCAATCCTCTGCTGAAACCCAAACTTTTGAACATTTCTAGAAACAGGATTCCAGAAAAATAACGGGTCAAGAGTCATAATAGCAAGTTAGGTCTCAAACCTGTGAAAAACTTACATAGAAGTAGCTGTCTTTATACATGCACCTTTCTAGGGAAGAACTCAAGGAAACAATCCTAGTGAGGTCAGTTTTATGTGAGTAAATCTACATTTAATTTTCCCTCCTCAGGCTTCCGAAACAGTTGATGCAACATATTTTGAATTACTTAACAGTGTCTTCCTACCTACCTCCTGAACAGAGAGTTTGATTTACTACAAAGAGACCACATTGGTGTGGTTCTTCGGTGTCGTTAGCAGAAGAAACTATAAAAGGAATCCCCAAGAGAAACTGTTTCCAGTCTCAGGAAATGCAGAAAAAAAAGTGGTTACTTTATGTATCTGTCTGAAAAAAAATGATTATTCATAGTGCACCTGTAAGAAGTAGCACACGCTTACTGCTTAATTCTTTAAATGTAAAATCTCATTAATACAGGAATACTGAACATACACTGCACTAACGAAATATTAATGCCCTTAATTATTAACAGGAAAAAAAATACACCTTGAATATTGTGTGCCACAGTTACATACTTGGATTGCTACAGAGCACTTATATACTTACAGTTCCACTCATATTTTTTAATCTAAAAAAATACTACACCCTCCTCATTTTGATTTTGAAACGACTGGGATATGTTCAAGTTAAAGCACATGCTAAAAATATTTGTGGAGGAAATCATAAAAT